TCAGTGCCTTATATCTGTCTTTGCGCTGATTGCTCGCCGGCCGCTCGGCTTCCATTGATCGGGGGGCAGGCAGGATCCTATAGCAGAAGCCTCCGATGGAAGCTGCCACTCTGTGAATCCCGGGCTGTATACTGGTACTTGACTTGATCGCTGTCTGTGCACAGAACTGTATCCAGGAAGCGGCCATCCCCTGCCTCTCTGGGGGGAATGTAGCTCACGCCGCGGCGCATTCATCTGTCCTGTGTGTAGAAAGTGAAATAAAGAATAAAACTCCCGATGGTGACAATTCATATCTACAGGAAGTGGGCGGTGTGCCGGAATAATCTTCCCCATCCTAGAAACCTCCCCCCTGAACGCCGTGCCGCTCTCCGGCCTGTAATCACCACTGACTGCAACATCCTGCTCAATGGCCCCGTGTGCTACTGCTGGGGCCATGGTAGGTTGGTGGTGGTAGGTAGGCTGGGGCCATGGTAGGTTGGTGGTGGTAGGTAGGCTGGGGCCATGGTAGGTGGGTGGTGGTAGGTAGGCTGGGGCCATGGTAGGTGGGTGGTGGTAGGTAGGCTCCGGTGAAGATTGAGGTCCTCTCTAAGAGTAGAGAGAGATGAGAGACAGCCAGGGGAGAGAGGAGAGACAGCCAGAGGAGACAGCCAGAGGAGAGACAGCCAGGGGAGAGAGGAGAGACAGCCTGGGGAGAGACAGCCTGGGGAGAGACAGCCAGAGGAGAGACAGCCAGGGGAGACAGCCGGGAGAGACAGCCAGGGGAGACAGCCATTTATCTCGCTGTGCACACATGATTACCTATTAGCCCGAGTCTGCTGAGCCAAGCTCCCTGACACCTTTCTGGTGGATACAGGTGGTTGAAGTGCTATGTATTACATCAAAGAATATTAGTTTACACAGCCTGTTGCACTGCACTGTTTACAAAATGCAGCAAGGTGAGCCAGGAGAGAGAGCGGGGAGAGACAGCCAGGGGAGAGAGCGCGAGGAGAAACAGCCAGGGGAGACAGCCGGGAGAGAGGAGAGACAGCCATGGGAGACAGCCGGGAGAGAGGAGAGAGAGAGCGGGGGAGGTGTTTTTCCGTTGGTAGATCTTATCACCAGAATTGTGGTCACCGCTGGTCTATGGTGATCTTAGATGCGTTCTGATCCGAGACTCGCCGTCATGTCCATCACGTGGGAGGAATAGACGGAAGGGAAGAATCTGGGCTCCTGCGTGACCCATTGCTGCCATGACAGCCGGTATGTTGGACACACAGAGGGAGCGTGTCCGGACTTGTCTGCACCTGGCACAGAACGTTGGATCAGAACATTGTCTGTCCTGAGCGGCAGTTACTGGCTGGAAAGTACCGATCCCTAAGCTGTACCACGTGGACGAGTCGGCACTACATGTGGAAAGGTGCAACTTCCCTCTATGACCAATGTATGTGGGTCTGCCTTGGTATGCGGGCGCCGTGTATGCGGGTGCCGTGTATGCGGGTGCCTTGTATGCGGGTGCCGTGTATGCGGGCGCCTTGTATGCGGGTGCCGTGTATGCGGGCGCCTTGTATGCGGGCGCCGTGTATGCGGGTGCCGTGTATGCGGGCGCCTTGTATGCGGGCGCCGTGTATGCGGGCGCCGTGTATGCGGGTGCCGTGTATGCGGGCGCCGTGTATGCGGGCGCCTTGTATGCGGGCGCCTTGTATGCGGGCGCCTTGTATGCGGGCGCCGTGTATGCGGGCGCCTTGTATGCGGG